GCTTCGTCGTGTGGGACGTAAACAGCCAGGAAAAGATCCGGCCTCTGTGGAGCCACTACAGCCAAAACAGTTATGGTCTCATCTTTGTGGTTGACAGCACTGACCAAGAACGCATGGAGGAGGCCAGACAGGAGATGATGCGGATGATGACAGAGCTGAAGGATGTTGTTCTGCTCGTGCTTGCAAATAAGCAGGACCTCCCCAATGCCATGGACACAGCTGAGATCACAGACAAGCTGGGCCTGCACTCTCTGCATGACAGGACCTGGTACCTGCAAGCCACCTCTGCCATCACTGGGGCTGGGCTCTATGAGGGACTGGACTGGCTGGCCAATCAGTTCCAGAACCGGAACTGAGCCGCACTCCTCTCTGCCCCCTGCTCCCTCCCTCACCCTTGCCTTCATGTCCATGTGGCAGATGTACCTCTGTGGTGCGAGTGCCAGAAGCTGTCCCCATGGTTGGTCTCAGTGTGCTTCATCACGCTGTGCATGTGCAGGTGCAGCCTGCAACCGGGTTTTTATTTAAATGATTCTCGTTTCCAGTGAGGCAGTTTCTGGTACTCACATGCGTTATGCAACAGAGGCAGCCAATCAGCCGATCCATGTTTCTCTTTCTCTCTCCAAAAATCAATAAAAACACATATTTACAAATTGGAGCACTGCAGTCTTTTCTAAAAATGAACTGAGCTGTCTTTCTCATGGGATTGTAGCTGACTAGAAGGACAGCATTAAATTGACTATTCTGGGATCTGAAAATAAAGATTTGACAAGGTATGTTTCAATCCATTTTCTTTATTTTAAATTCCTTGGAAGTAACTTCTTATTTTCTGAAAATGTCTAATGAAATAGCCAAAGGTAAATAAGTTGACTGGAGGCAGTGATTTCCATGGAGGCGAACAAATTTCCATGTTTCTACACTAAACAAGAGTAAGAATATTTTTTTTCTATCAGGGATTCTTAAGCAAGTAAAAAACAACTTAATCATTTGGGGGTTCTTTTGCTTTTGAGAGACAAACAAAACCTCCAATTAATTTGACATTAAAATTAAGAACATCAAAAATAAAACTTTACTAAACCATGGAAGTAAATTTTCTCTTTAAATTGCCCCTTTTGGATTTTCATATTCCTGTCACTTCTCTCCAAATGAACCAGAATGAAAGTCTGGGAGCCATCTTTTTTATTCTACCTTCTTCTTACAGCTCACTTTCATACTTCCAGCCTATCTCCACTAGATTCATGTTATCAGTCACCAAGTCTCAGGATTATATTCCTTGTGCACCATTCCATTTCCGCTGAATATCTTAGCCTGTGTCCTCAGGTGTCTCACTGTTAAGTTATTGCCATTTGTCTCACTGCCTCCAATCTCTGGGGCAGTTTCAAGCTTATTTGCCTAATGAGACAGGTAAGTAAAGAGTAAAGTGACCAGATGTCCCGATTTTTAACAATTTGTCCCTTCTCCCACGGCGTTTTAAAAAAGTCCCGATTTTTGGAAAGAATGCACAAGCTAGGGAACCGCGGGAGAACGGGAAGGGGATATATGGTTTTCGGCGGCCATGTGGCTATTTAGCCAGGATATGAGTTTTATATTATTTTTGTTAATTTTATAATGTTAAACTTTAATAATAACAAATAATTGTTGAGAAATGATTATCAAGAACTGCTTATCAAAGTTCACATTGTTGATCAGTTGTTAGAATTCGACCACCATTGTTTGGACTTACTGAAGAATGGCAATTTGCCTCTTTTGGATTTTCATATTCCTGTCATTTCTCTCCAAATGAATCAGATTGAAAGTCTGGGAGCCATCTCATTTTTGGGGATTCGCAACGATGAAAACATTTTGTAACTGTCTCTCAGATGATACACATCGTACTGCGTTCTAGTAAACTAGTTAAACAAGTGATGTCCTTACAAATCAGCTATTCAGATAATATAGGTAAGTAATATTTTTTATTTCATAAATATATTAATCTTCTAGAATTTAGCAGACAGTACTCATTATTTACATTTTATAGTGGCAGCAAAAAGTCTAGTGTCGGCCTTGAAAGTGACACAACTATACATAATTTTTATTTATTTATATTTGTATGTTGTACTTATATTAAATTTTTTAAAAATATATTACAATACTATTTTTGCATTCTATGAAAATTTTTGTTGCTCCATATAGACCAAATTTTTAATCAAGAACCCACCCCCCCCCACCCCCACCCCAGTCAATGGTGTCCCGCTTTACCAATGTTAAAATCTGGTCATCTTAGTAAAGAGTGAAATGAGCTGGATGAGCACAGGCCTCTTTAAAAGTTTCTATTCAGCTGCAGTCAATTGTTGCTTCATGAGGGCTGATGGGGCAGTATTGAGAGAAATCCAACTTTCCAAGAGAAGCCAGAGATTCCACAGGCCCTCTCACTTCCCTTGGGTTCCTAGAATTGCAGCGACAAAAAAGAAGGATGCTCTGTGCCTGGGAGATAGGTTATGCAAGGTGCTGGGTTGGCCAAACTTCTTGAAGTGGTCCCTAAAGTGGTCCTCTATGACTCCTTATAGATATGTACCTTGCCACCCTGGCTCATTACCTAGCCAAGTGCCACCCAGAGGAGTGTCTAGTAAGAGTTCTGTTGACCCAGGATGATGGTGATGAATCATCTAATCTAGACCAATCAAAACTGTACCAGTCACTTGCTCTCTGTGGACTTTGAACTTTTAAATAGTGAGTAAATTGCAAGTGACACAGCAATGAAAAGAATTAGAATAAGGATCAACAAATATCTGCTAAAGAGTGACAAAATAGAACCAATGCCTGGCTCAGAGCAGCAGCAGCAGCAGCACTGTGGCTGTCAAAGGTTTCTCTGATCAGTGTCTCTCCCTCTGGTTTACAGCATGGGAAACATCTTTGCAAACCTCTTCAAGGGCCTTTTTGGCAATAAAGAAATGGGCCTTCTCATGGTGGGCTTGGACGGCGCTGGGAAGACCACCCTCCTATACAAACTGAAGCTGGGCAAGGTTCTGACCACCACTCCCACGATAGGTTTCAACCTGGAGACTGTGGAGTATAAGAACATCAACTTCGTCGTGTGGGACTTACACAGCCAGGACAAGAGCCGGTTTATGTGGAACTACTACTGCCCAGGCAAACATGGTCTCATCTTTGTGGTTGACAGCACTGACCAAGAACGCATGGAGGAGGCCAGACAGGAGATGATGCGGATGATGACAGAGATGAAGGATGTTGTTCTGCTCGTGCTTGCAAACAAGCAGGACCTCCCCAATGCCATGGACGCAGCTGAGATCACAGACAAGCTGGGCCTGCACTCTCTGCATGACAGGACCTGGTACCTGCAAGCCACCTCTGCCATCACTGGGGCTGGGCTCTATGAGGGACTGGACTGGCTGGCCAATCAGTTCCAGAACCGGAACTGAGCCGCACTCCTCTCTCCCCCTGCTCCCTCCCTCACCCTTGCCTTCATGTCCATGTGGCAGATGTACCTCTGTGGTGCGAGTGCCAGAAGCTGTCCCCATGGTTGGTCTCAGTGTGCTTCATCACGCTGTGCATGTGCAGGTGCAGCCTGCAACCGGGTTTTTATTTAATTGATTCTCGTTTCCAATGAGGCAGTTTCTGGTACTCACATGCGTTATGCAACAGAGGCAGCCAATCAGCTGATCCATGTTTCTCTTTCTCTCTCCAAAAATCAATAAAAACACATATTTACAAATTGGAGCACTGCAGTCTTTTCTAAAAATGAACTGAGCTGTCTTTCTCATGGGATTGTAGCTGACCAGAAAGACAGGATTAAATCGACTATTTTGGGATCTGAAAATAAAGATTTGACAAGGTATGTTTCAATCCATTTTCTTTATTTTAAATTCCTTGGAAGAAAGTTATTTTCTGAAAATGTCAAATGAAATAGCCAAAGGTAAATAAATTGACTGGAGGCAGTGATTTCCATGGAGGTAAACAAATTTCCATGTTTCTACACTGAACAAGAGTAAAAAAAATTTTTTTTTTCTATCGGGGGTTCATAAGAAATTAAAATAACAACTTAATTATTTGAAGGTTCTTTAGTTTTTGAGAGACAAACAAAACCTCCAATTAATTTGACATTAAAATTAAGAACATAAAAATAAAACTTTACTAAACAATGGAAATAAATTTTCTCTTTAAATTGCCCCTTTTGGATTTTCATATTCCTGTGACTTCTCTCCAATGAACCAGATTGAAAGGCTGGGAGCCATCTCTTTTATTCTACCTTCTTCTTACAGCTCACTTTCATACTTCCAGCCTATCTCCACTAGATTCATGTTGTCAGTCACCAAGTCTCAGGATTGTATTCCTTGTGCACCATTCCATTTCCTCTTAGCCTGTGTCCTCAGGTGTCTCACTGTTAAGTTATTGCCATTTGTCTCACTGCCTCCAATCTCTGGGGCAGTTTCAAGCTTACTTGCCTGAAGAGTCAGGTAAGTAAAGAGTGAAATGAGCAGGCTTTTTACTAGAACACAGTGTACGTGTTCTGTACTCGAAGCTACACTAGTAAAAAGCCTGCTCAGATTGGCCAGAGTCAGAGAGGCGGTCTATTAAAAAAAGAACTGGTGTTGCCTCGGAAGTGGGGGGTAGTCTTATACAGCGAATATAGGCCTAAACCTATGTTTTAACTGTAAAATTAGGGTGTTGTCTTATACCTCGGAAAATACGGTACCACCCAAAGGAGTGTCTAGTAAGAGTTCTGTTGACCCAGGATGATGGTGATGAATCATCTAATCTAGACCAATCAAAACTGTACCAGTCACTTGCTCTCTGTGGACTTTGAACTTTTAAGTAGGTAGTAAATTGCAAGGGACACAGTAATGAAAAGAATTAGAATAAGGATCAACAAATATCTGCTAAAGAGTGACAAAATAGAACCAATGCCTGGCTCAGAGCAGCAGCAGCAGCAGCAGCAGCAGCAGCAGCAGCACTGTGGCTGCCAAAGGTTTCTCTGACCAGGGTCTCTCCCTCTGGTCTACAGCATGGGAAACATCTTTGCAAACCTCTTCAAGGGCTTTTTTGGCAAAAAAGAAATGTGTATTCTCATGGTGGGCCTGGACGGGGCTGGGAAGACCACCATCCTGTACAAACTGAAGCTGGGTGAGATCTTGACCACCATTCCCACCATAGGTTTCAACGTGGAGACTGTGAAGTATAAGAACATCAGCTTTGTCGTGTGGGACGCGAGCAGCCAGGACAAGATCCGGCCTCTGTGGCGCCACTGCTGCCCAAATGGACAAGGGCTTATCTTTGTGGTTGACAGCACTGACCAAGAACGCATGGAGGAGGCCAGAGAGGCACTCATGTGGATGATGGCGGAGTTCACAGATATTATCCTGCTTGTGTTTGCAAACAAGCAGGACCTCCCCAATGCCATGGACACAGCTGAGATCACAGACAAGCTGGGCCTGCACTCTCTGCATGACAGAACCTGGTACCTTCAAGCCACCTCTGCCATCACAGGGGCTGGACTCCATGAGGGACTGGACTGGCTGGCCAATCAGTTCCAAAACCGGAACTGAACTGCACTCCTCTCTTCCTCCTACTCCCTCCTTCACTCTTGCCTTCCTCACATGTGGCAGATGTACCTCTGTGGTGTGAGTGCCAGAAGCTGTCCCCATGATTGATCTCAGTGTGCTTCATCATGCTGTGCCTATACCTGGGTTTTTATTTAAATAGTTTTTGTTTCTGGAGAACCAAGATGGCATCATAGGTAAACACCTATACTTGCTGCCTCTCACAACCACATGAAAATTACAACTAAAAGGCAGAACAACTACCACCCAGAACTTCGGGAAAGCTGGCTGAGTGGAAGTTCCCCAACTAGAGAAGTGAAGAAAGCACATTGAGACTGGTAAGAGGTGCAGAGGCATGAAAAGTGCTGGAACCTGGATGTGCTGCTCTTTTAATCTGGAGGGAGATACAAACTCCAGTTCTGGGCAAGACTCTTACGGGGAAAAACTGGACAGACTGACATTGGGACAGGATGGAGGGGGTGGCTTTCTCTCAGAGGTGCTCGTAGCAATCATTTTCTTGCACGGGGGCTCGGGATGTGGAGACCTGGGGATCTCTGAGATGCAGGGCTGTCTGGTAGTCATTGCAGTTTGTTCTACCCTGATGATTCCCAGACACCCCATCCCACCCAATTTACAACCCCACCCAAGCTGTGCACAGAGGCTTTTGCATATGAATGGCCTGTCCTTTCTCCACCTAAAACCTGTCAAACTGCAGCTGGATTACAGAGCCCCAAAGCTTCAAAATTAAGGCCCAAGGCCCAGCAGCAGCCAGCTTTGCTTCATGGTTAGGCCTCATCTGGGCACTTCCAAACCCCAAAGAGAAGGAATCTGCAGATGTCTCTGTAGCTCTTGTTGGGTGGCCCCAGACAGTGCCTGACATTGCACCTCCATGGAAATCCAAGAGCCAGTGTACCCAGTGGTATGAGACCATACTGGATTACAAATCTTCACATCCATAAGAGACACACTGAAGAGGCAGACTCAGTGAGCACCAAAGCCTCACTGAAGCAAGTCCTGTTTCATAAGGGTGTCTGTAGCACAGAAGTTCTCCCAGAGTAGACACAGCTGATCATCACAGCCAATTGGCCTGGAGGTGAATTCCTCCCAGTGATACCAACAACAATCAAGGCTTTCCTACAATAAGACTGTGCACACAGCTCACAAAGGGGTGAACCAAGAGTGTTCACCTCAGGTGACCAGGGAGACTGAGCCACTGGGCCACTGGGCCACTGAGACCTACCACACAAGGCCACTCTATCAACTCAAGGAGACTTAGCAGCTCCCCAGCACATAGAAACAAACACAGGGAAGCAGCCAAAATGCAGAGACAAAGAAACAAGTCACAAATGAAAGAAATGGATGAAAGCAAAATACTGGATATAGCATTCAAAATCACAGTTATAAGGTTACTCAAGAATCTTCTAGAAACCCCCAAGAAAGTTAGTGAGACTTTTAAGGATATGGAAAAGGACAAATTAGAAATTAAGCATACACTGACTAAAATAAAGAAGAGAGAGAGCAAGATATTGAAAACCTATTTGAAGAAATAATGAAAACTCCCCCTACCTGGTGAAAGATATTGACTTACAAGTCCAGGAAGTGCAGAGGTTCAACAGCAGACTAGAGGACTCCAAGAATCAAGTCAAAGATTTGAAATACGAAGAAGCAAAAAATACCCAACTGGAAAAGCAAAAAGAAAAAAGAACCCAAAAATATGAAAATAGTATAAGGAGCCTCTGGGACAACTTCAAGCATAACAACATCAAAATTATTGGGGTGCCAGAAGAAGAGAGAGAGCAAGATATTGAAAACCTATTTGAAGGAATAATGAAAACTCCCCCTACCTGATGAAAGATATTGACTTACAACCCCAGGAAGTGCAAAGAACCCAAACAAGAGAATTCCAAAGAGGATCACACCAAGACATATAATAATTAAAATGCCAAGAGCAAAAGACAAAGAGAGAATCTTAAAAGCAGCAAGAGAAAAACAGTTATCAACAAGGGAGTGCCCATATGATTGTCAGCTGATTTCTCAACTATGCAGGCCAAAAGGGAATGGCAAGAAATGTATAAAGTGATGAATAGCAAGAAAGTACAACCAAGATTACTCTACCCTGCAAAGCTATCATTCAGAATTGAAGGTCAGATAAAGAGCATCACAGACAAGAAAAAGCTAAAGGAGTTCATCACCGACAAACTAGTATTATATGAAATGTTGAAGGGTATTCTTTAAGAAGAGAAAGAAGAAAAAAAAGATAAAGATAAAAAAATTATGATTAACAAAATGATAATTAATACATATCTATCAACAAGTGAATCTAAAAATCAAATGAATAGAAAACCTGATGAACAGGACAGACTGGTGAATGTAATAGAATCAGGGGCATGAAACGGAGCAGACTATAATTCTCGGGGGAAGAGGTTATAGAGGGTGCAGGAAGAAATTGGACAAAGAGCTTGCACCTATGAACGAGGTCAGTGTGTGGGGGTAAGGCCTGGAGTGGGGTGGGAACCTAGTGGAGGGGAACTATGGGGAGAGGGGAAGACATCTGTAATAATCTGAACAATAAAGATTTAAAAAAAATAGTTCTTGTTTCCAATGAGGCAGTTTCTGGTGCTCCTATGCAATATTACCCATGCAATATCATGCAAAGAAAGGTAGCCAATCAACTGACCAATGTTTCTCTCAATCTCTCTCTCCCCCTTTCTCTTTCTGAAAATCAATAAAAACATTTTTTTTAATTGTAGCACTGCAATTTTCTAAAAATGAAACATGCTGTTTTTCTCACGAAATTTTAGCTGACTAGAAGAACAGGATTAAATAGACTATACTGGGACCTGAAGAATAAAGGAGATTTGACATTGTATGTTTCATTTTCACAGAAATGTTCAATTTTTCTTAATTTATTTTAAATTTCTTGTAAGTAGTTTGTCTTGTTTTCTGAAAATGCCAAGTGAAGTAACCAGAGGTAAACAGATTGGACACAAGAGGTAAACAGATTTCCATGGAGGCAAGCAGATTTCCATGTTTTGATACTCAACAAGAGTAAGAACACTTTTTCTATCAGGGGTTCATAAGCAAGTAAAAAAAAAACTTAATTATTTGGGGGTTCTTTTGTTTTTGAGAGACAAGACATAATTTGCAAATAACTTGACTTTAAGAACATCAAAAACAAAACCTTATTAAACCATTCAAATTACCTTTTTGGATTTTCATATTCCTGTCAAGGCTATCATTTCTCTCCAAATGAACCAGACTGCAAGTCTGAGAGCCATTTATTTTACTCTGCCTTCTTCTTACACCTTACCCTCATACCTCTACCTGGTCTGGTCCCTCAACTAGACTCATGTTGTCAATCACTGAGTCCAGGATTGTATCCCAATGTGCCACATTCCATTTCCTCTGAATATCGTAGCCTGGGTCCTCAGGTGCCTTTAGCTCTTTCCCCCACTCTTTAATATCTGTTTTACTTTTCAATTAAAACAAAAAAATCCTATAAAGAAACTGTTGAATTAACAAAAGTAAAAGCAAGACATGCTCTGGAATCAAAAGCTTCAAGGGCACCAAGGACTGTCCAATATTTACTTCAGCCTTGAATGTCCATGATTGGCTCTCTGAGCCCACACAGCAGCATTGGACCTTTTCCTTTATACCATACTAGTGACCTGTTGCAGGAATATTCCTGCAAGACTTCTGGCCAGTAACTGCCACCTCTCCTGCTCTCCCCCCCACCCCCCACCTCTCCTGCTGTGGTGGGCAGGGCGGGGCAGGGTAGAATGGATGGGGCATGCCCCAGCTGTCCCAACCACCCCAACACACCTATGGCCACCTCCACCACCTTCTCCATGGCATGTGTGTGCACTGCCATCACCGCTGCTTGCCTCACCCTGCTCGCCCAACCCACTGCACCTGCTGCCACCGCCTCTGGGGCCACACGTGCCACTGCTGCGCACCCCATCCCACCCACATGCCCCACCGAGCCCGCCTCCCCCACTGCCTCCTACTGCTGCCGCCTCTGAGGCCACCCACAGCTGCTGCACGTCTTGCCCCACCCCACACAAGCTGCCAGTGCTTTTTCTCCAGCAGCCACAGCGCCTTGCTTTCCATTTTCTCTCCCTCTTCCTTCTATCCTATCTTCAGTCTTCACTCCTCCCAAAATAACTGCCATCTTTGTTGGGTTAATTTGCTACTCACTCTGATTGGTTGGTGGGCGTGGCTGGTGTATCAGAGTGATAGTTAATTTGCATATTACTCTATTATTAGGTCGGATAGCACAGATGAAACAAGGTTTGAATATTAAAATTAGACTTTACTAAGGGCCTATAGGTATTACAAAGAGTAACACAAAATCCAAAATTCATAAAACCTGGATTTCTCTCTTCTGGCAGTCCATTCCAGCTCATAGTCTCTTGGTGGCCACCATTTTAGTACCATTTACCCAGGTGGTCACAGCTGCAAGATTACTTTTCTTCTTCTTCTTTTTTTTTTTAATAAATTTTTTTGTTCATATTATTACAAATGTTCCTTCCCCCCCCCCTCCATTGCTCTCCTCCACCAGGTTCTCACCCCACCCTCTGCCCTTTCCCCACCCCCCATTGTCCTCATCCATAGGTGCACAGTTTATGTTCAGTCTCTTTCCACAACCCCCTCTCCCTTTCCCCCCAAGAATCGTCAGTTCACTCCCCTTCCATACCTCTGATTCTATTATATTCAACAGTTAATATTGTTCATCAGATTTTTTTTTAATTTCCTTGGTTTTTTAGATTCACTTGTTGATAGTTACATATTTGTTGTTCTTAATTTTTATCTTTATTTACTTTCTCTTCCGAAAGAACCCCCTTCAGCAATTCATATAATTCTGGTTTGGTGGTGATGAGCTCCTTTAGCTTTTTTTTTATTAGTGAAGCTCTTTATCTGGCCTTTGATTCTGAGTGATAGCTTTGCTGGATAGATTATCTTTGGTTGTAGGTTCTTACTATTCATCACCTTGAATATTTCTTGCC